TTTTATAGAAGAAATAAGTCAACAATACAACTACAATTAGTTTTTTGTGGAGTAAGGTTTTTTAAATGTATCTGTTCCAGCCAACTCACTGGAAGTACTTGATATGGATCATAACCAAATCAAAACTTTGAACACAAGACTCTGGTTATAAATTAATCCCTTCACATTGCCTATATTAATTGTAAGTATTTCATACATCTTTATGTCCTACAATCCAAACTATCCATTTAAATCTAGTTTTCACTTTTTACCTGTGTGATGTGTTTTTTCTGTTTTACAGTCCTACATCAGATATCAAAAAGGCACTGGCATCGTGTTTGGTTCAGTCATTTGCCTGTTTGAAAGACTCATCAAGCAGTGGCAGTGAGTGTTTTTTGAAAAATGTCATTGAGATATTTATTTGGGTTGTCATGATCCTCAAACTGATTCAGGTGATTTTTAATGTTGCCATCCAATGCGATTTTCAATTTAAACTTTCTTTAGTTAACTGGAATCAGCCGAGGGCTCAATACCAGGCCCCCTTCTTTTTTTGCTAGATTTCCAATGTAGATCTCCTGTTTCTGGCGAATCCTCACTAAAGAATACACACTAGGGTTCGTACATGTGAAAATTATTGTCCCGCAGGTCCTTTAAAACGTTTTAAATAAATAATCGGGAATTTGAGGCCTTAAATTTGGCAAAATTTGGCTGGAAGTCACGACCGCGACGCACTGTTAGCCTGTAGGTCTGCTGTTTTTGGCAATGGAGCGTGAAGAAGCATAAACTGAGCTTAAAAGCTAAAACAGTTAACAGACACAATACAGCTCACTCCTCCTAGAAATGCTTCTGTGTTGTTTGATGCCTGCTGTTATGCACTAAGCAGCAGGAACAATAATTGATCTACTTCTCTAAGGACAGACAGACGTACAGTTAAACCCTATTCTAACCGTAGCCCATGCTGTCAAAGTCAAACTCTATTCATTAAAGATTTAGATTTCTTGGCAGGAAATATGTATACCCCAGGACGGAGCCACCAGCCAGCCACTGGATACATCCATATTTCAGTGACTGACAACTTTCTTGTTCTTGTCTTTTTTACATAATGTACCATATCAGACAAACGTCATAGCTTAAAGAATGGTTGAGAAACTATTCTCAGCCCTTCAGCCAAATAGAGACCTACATGCAGAACACGGCAGTCTACAGGGCCAAGTGGATTAGGGACAACAATTGGACCATCAATCAGATCCTCGAAGAGTTCCCTCGCCTAATGACCAAAGGCATGGTAGGTATAGGGGAATATACTCTTACATATGAGGATGCATTGTTTATAACCTTTTATTAGTGTGCCACATTGAATTGGTTTCAAAAATGTGTTTTCCATTTTATAGATTGCACAGGACTTTCTTGTCCTGCATGGGGATGCTGCATCAAAGTTGTTTGAAACTTGGCTACCCATTTATGCTGAGAAGATCCTGTACCTGGCAAGACAGGAGGGGTAGCTGACATTGCCCCTGGATGGATTAACACCAGGTAATATATTCTTGTCTGCAGATCTTGTAAATGCAAGGTTTTCGCTGGGTTTTTAGGGTTCTTATGTGGTTGGGCAGTGGTGCCTTCTCGAACATTTTACACAGTGAAAAACAACATGAGCTCTGAGAATAGTGAGTGATATCATCATAGGAATAGAGTTAAATAAATCTGGGAATTTTATGCAATTTTATGCGATCAAATTGCGGGGATTATGAAATTATGCAAGCCCCGCATATTTTGCGCAGAAATCAGCAATTTATGCAGCAAAAGTTCGGCGTATTTGAAAAAATGCACCCCCGCATAAATTTGAGGACTTTGGCTGATTATGCATTGAATTATGCGATGAGTTAAATGTAGTTATTAATTGATGTAATTGACAGATTGAATGAATTGAATTGAACAAGATTTATGAGCAAGTCACTCAGTAAATCAGAATTGATTTGGCAAATTTGACTTGCATTACCAGATCGCCATTACCCTCCGCTTCCATAGGGAGGCGTTAACAGACTGGTGACAGCAAGAAAAAATGCAAGCAAAACAAGCCATGGTCAGCTATAATCAGAGTCTCCATGTACTCATGCTGCTAACAGACAAGTCCACTCTTAAGCACATTAATAGCCCTTTGTGAACGTTTCTGTGGTACCGCGATGTTTTAGCTGAGCTAGTGACTCTGAGGCTGTGGGGTGTGTGTGTGCGTGCGCAGCTCTGCTGTTGTCATCTTAACATTGTCAGCCTTAAATATCTTGTACAACTCAGAATATAGCACGGTTAGTTAAGGGTGTGTGTGACATGTTTACTGCCACAGAAATGTAGTGACTGTACTCCGGTACTTTTTTAAATACTTAGATCTCTGCCGCCTTCCGGTCCAATAATAGGAGGATTAACTAAACTACAAACTAACCAGCTGCAGGGCGGGAATTAACTGCACCTAACAGTTAGCATGGGTTTTATTTTAGTTGGATATTGAATGACAAAATCACAGGTATGCTATTCCACATCGTATTGACACCTATGTCCTCCTACAGATGGTGTTGGGGAACTCGCCCTGAGGCAGCTCCCAGCCTTGCTTCTACCTACAACTTACAAAGTTGGCCGTGGCCGCGGTGACAAAGTGGTTCTCCGCACCAGTCAGGAATGCAGCTTGGCCTTTACCGACCATAAACCTGTAAGTCCTCAAGCACATCTAAAGGGGAAACTTTATTCATTTTATCAACGTATCCGAGTTCAAGAATGTGTGCATGCACACATGCATATCCAGGTTTGTTTTACTATATTTTTGGGGACAGGCATCAAATATAGCCTGACAGTATTCGGAATAGCCGTTCTACAAGCTTACAACGCATAGTCGGTAGACATTTGGTCCTTATTCATTCACACTCTCTCACTTGCTCTCTTGTATTGTTTCTTTTTTAGCCTGGAATAAACATGGTGGGGTACCTCCATGAGGCCAAGGCATGCAAACCATACCCCCACATCCTGACGCTGGAAAATGATCAGAGTGCATTTCAGGCCTTCGTCATAATAGCTGGACAGGCCTTGGAACAAGAAGCACTGCTTTAGGCCATTGATGTCTGCTTCAAGGCATTCTTTGTCTTTGACATTAAATACACAAGTGTGAACATGTGTGGGAATTCATACAGACTGTAATATATGAAATGCCAGGAGGGGAGTCTAAAATGGAAGTTTATTCAAGGTAGAATACTTGCTTGCAATTAGAGCTAATGGCTCTTAAATAGCAGCTTTTTAATAGGAATTTGAATTTGTTCACTGTTGACTGTTGGCCTGTTGAATGTTCAGCCAGTTCATTGTTGTTTTCCTCTGAATGTTTTCCTACCTGAGTGATATGAACTGCACCAGTTCCACTATATTGTTGATATTAATTAATGTAATATAATAATTTTTTTCAAAGATTCCATTATGTTGTTTTGTTTTTGTATTGTTTAAGTGTTTATAGTATAACATATGCATAAATCTAGCATGTATTCTGTTCTAGGTTTGTAGTTTAACAATTTTATAGTTATGGGTATTCTATTGCAATTTATTTTCTTAAATTGTACTGTAATGTGTTAGAATTAATCTGGCATATGGGTTAATTTTACCCAGCATTTGGGTACACTATATAACAAATATGCGAATCAACCCAGAATTGTAATTTATTTGACCCAGCATTTGGGTAGAATATTTAACTCATCTGTTGGGTTAAAAATGACCAACCCATCTTGCTGGGTCAAATTAACTACTGCTGGTCTGGTGCAATATTGATCCAGCGATTGGGTTTTAAAACAACCCAAGTTGGGTTATTTTTAACCCATCATTTTTCTGTGTGTATGTGTGTGTGTTGGCCATCAGAGGGATGCAGATGATAGATTTATTTAATACATTTTAGACTGGGTTGACTCAAGTTTTGTATACTTTTAAAGGGTGCCGTGACTGAAAAAAGTACTGTACTGTACTGGTGGTGATGGATTCATTCTTCTTTGTCTTCAGAGGTAGAAATCATGAACTATTGCTCTCTAACTTAGTGTTAGGGCCCATCCACACTACTGTGTTTTCATTTTAAAACAGACCTTTTGCTATGTTTGCACCTCCTGTCCAGACTAAAACGGCTTAAACGAAGACCTAAAACGGAGTTTCAAAATGCTGCTGATCCTTCGAAGACAAAGATAAACTCTAAAACAGCTAAAACGCTGATGTGGAGGGAGATCGTATTTGTTTTAAAATTCTGTTTTTAAACAAAAACTAAGTAGTGTGGATAGGGCCTCAGTGATGACAATCTATGATAAGTTATATGGGCCCTTTGAAACAACTGTTTACCTTCTGAGATTGCTTAAGAGTTTGGATAGCCCTGTCTGGATCCCTTCCCTTATTAGTGCGCCAAAGGAGTATTATTAGCTGTTTGGTCAGAATGCTAAAGGAATGTTTGCTTTGAAAGCTAACAGGGCTGTGTGAGTGTTGGCTGTTAGTCCTGGGTTTGACAAGGGAGTTGTGGCTATACTGTTGGTTATATCATTATGTCATAAACAGATAAATGATTCCCATGCTCCTGATTAGATCACACAGGTCCATAACAGCTGCATTATGACTGAATGGTAGCCAACAGGAGGACTGACCCTTACCCTACAGACTAGAACTGCAGATAAACAGTTTTACATACAATTTTAAGTTACACTGAACTACAACATGCATACACAGTTGTACTCTGTCATTAAAGTATAGTCTATGAAAACAGAGCCCTTCTTAATTTTAAACAACTCAACTGTAAGCTGTTTGCACACAGGAAGAATTAAGAATTCCAGCAGTGATTAAACCAGCCTCTGCAATTGAGAGAAATATCTGAAATAAAACAGAATAAACCTGCAGTCTCTTGTTTTCATCCAGAAACAGCATATTTACTCAGAAACTACAAAGGTTCATTACTGTCATTGTTTTATGAAGTGACTAGACGAAACATGACTAATGTCAGGAAACAAAATGACATGAGAACTTACTGCTTTGTTTGCGCTGTACCCTCCTAAAGACTCCACAACCCTCATGTCTTCTAATCCTGTTGCTTTTCTTTGCTGCTTTGTGCCCTAGGTGCTCAGACTGGAGAGTCCCTGCAGGCCCCTGCTGTTCACTTGGCCTCCGAATGGCTTGTAGACAATGCGTCATTATGCGGGGAGAGAAGGGTAATGACACGGCCGAGAGGGGGGGGGTTGTGCAGGTCATTTCAGTCAACGTGTACTCAGCTGTCACCCCCTTCAAGACACACACACACACACACACACACACACACATACAGGCCAGAATCACCGCCCTAACCATATAGACCAAAGACTCTAAGAGATGTGTAAATGTGTAAATGATCCAAAAGAGAAAGCAGTTATATTTAGCAGCCAATACACCCTCACCTCCACAAATGTCCTCCAAGCTCACCCCATGTGTTTTAATCCTCAGTGGTGAATTACACTTTTCACTAATCACTTTTATCTCTGAAGTGCACAATGTAAAGTGTATTAGTTTAACCGGTGAACTTCTGCAATGAAAGCAGAGCGTCTGTGTAAATAACACTGCCTGCTCCAAATGAAATCCACATACACATATATTATAGACAAGAGACTAGATTCTTTGTGAACCTTTACTGGAGTGATGAACAGCAGTCTCAAATATCTTTAACAACCCATCAAATACAGCTCAGCTCCTGATTATGAAAACAAGGAGGGGTGAGGATGGCGTTACTCCGTGTCTGCACAGGAGGCGTAGCATGTGCAGCTTGTTAGCAGCAGCAGCTTATGCAATTCGACTGTGTCTACGCAGGATGCATTCAACAGTACTGAATGTAGGTTGTATGTAGATGCTTCTACTAATACTACCAGAGCTGCAGTTAGCGAGCAGAACACCAGGTCAGGTATCCCCCATGTCTTGCTCTCTCACTCTTTATTATAACAGCCCACTTTCTGCAGAAAACACACAGACCTGGCAGCTCTGCATATATAGCTCTGAGCGGTAACACTATGTAAAGTTAAAATGTTTTCTGAGATAGTTTTGAAGTAGATATAGCCAACATGCACTGAAGTTACAACAACTTCCTGTTTCATGGTAAATCATCAATTTTGGACATCACACCACAGGCACACTGTTCCACAAAAACATACCATACAACTTTTAATCATCAATGGGATCAGACTAGACAGAGTAAATTTGAAGTCGATCGGACTAATTCTCTAGGAGGAGCTTGTTATTCGCTAAAAATGACAATCCCATCCATCGTCAACTGCTTATCCTTATCACGGGGGGCTGGAGCCAATACCAGCTGACATTGGGCGAAAGGCAGGGTACACCCTGGACAGGTTGCCAGTCCATTGCAGGGCCACACATAGACAAACAACCACTCATGCTCACACCTAAGGACAATTTAGGGTCACCAATTAACCTAGTCAGTATGTCTTTGGACGGTGGGAGACACAGGGAGAACATGCAAACTCCACACAGAAAGGCCGGGGCAACCGGGATTTGAAACCGCAACCTTCTTGCTGTGAGGCAACAGTGCTAACATTGCTCCAAGAGGCTTTTTGGTACATCTGGACATGATACATGTGCCACAGAAGTTTCACACATGTAGTTGGAAGGTGCCACAGGGACTGCTTCGTTAAATGTCACTTCCTGTTGCCAGCAGGTGGCTCTATGACTATGAGTGAGTGTTGGCATGTACATGTGTTCAGGGTGGGACTCTTATCAAACGTCTAAAATTTGGTACAGATCTGAGCATGTACAGTCAACTTACAACGCTTTGGACGCTGCACAAGGTGTTAAATGTCACTTCCTGTGTCCCTTCAGTGGCGCTATAGAGCACTTGGCGCTATGACTATAACTGAATATTGGCATATGGATGTTTTCCGGGGCGGGACTGTTATTATCCATGTCAAATTTGGTACTGATGTATGTACACTAAAGTACAGCTTCCTGTTTTGTGGCGAATCATCGATTTTGGACGCCACACCACGGGCACGCTGTTCCACTAAAACTCACCGTTTCTACAACTTTTAATCGTCAATGGGTTTAGAGTGCACAGCAAAAATTTGAAGTTGATCTGACTAGTACATGCTAGGAGTTTGTTAAAGTATGAATGTAAATTGCATAAAATGGGATAAAATTGCACTTTCAATTCAAAATGGCGGACTTCCTGTTGGGTTAAGGGTATGGGTCCTTGAGGCTTTTTTGTCCGTCTTGATATGATTACATGTCCCCAAAATATTTCGTGCATGTAGGTTGAACGTGGCCTAGGGCCAATTTTGTAGGTGGCGCAAGCGAGCCATTTTGCCACGCCCATGTGCAGGACCCAAAAAAACAAATTTTTTCGCCACTTCTGACATGTGTGCAAAGTTTGGTGTTTCTTGAGCATGTTTAGGCCGCCAAAAATACTTACTTTGCTGAAAAAAGAAAAAGGAAAAAAATATAAAGCTGCAAGCAGCGTTGGGCGGGCCCTCGCACGTGTAGCGCGTCGAGGTGTGAGGCGGACGCGTTGCAGATACTGGAGCTCTGCCAGTGTGGCTGTGAATCTGCCACGGGCTTCGGACACTGCACAAACATGTTAATCATCAAGTCCTGTGTCCCCTTTGTGGCGCTACATAGGACTTAGGACACTCCGACTATAACTGAACATGTACTGTAGATGTGTTCGAGGCAGGACTGTTATCAAAGCACGTAAAGTATGGTGCAGATGTGAGAATGTACACTGAAGTTAAAACAACTTCATCTTTCATGGCGAATATGCTAATTTTGGATGCCACACCACGAGCACACCGTTGCACGAAAACTCATCGTTTCTTCACGTTGCTTCATCAAATAATTTTTCAGTTTAATAATTACCTGGTATGAGAGCCCTTGCAAGAGCACCATCATCTGGCGTTTGTGTTGGTGTCTGTGCCGTGCTCTGATCTCAGCCGCTTCCTGACGTTCCGCAGCCTTTCCTCCAGGAATCCAGTGGCTGGCCGGTGGCTCCGTCCTGGTGTATATATATTTCCTGCCAAGAAATCTAAATCTTTAATGAAGAGAGTTTGACTTTGACAGCATGGGCTACGGTTAGAATAGGGTTTGTCTGTACGTCTGTCTGTCCAATTATTGTTCCTGCTGCTTAGTGCATAACAGCAGGCATCAAACAGCACAGAAGCATTTCTAGGAGGAGTGAGCTGTATTGTGTCTGTTAACTGACTGTTTTAACTTTTAAGCTCAGTTTATGCTTCTTCACGCTCCATTGCCAAAAACAGCAGACCTACAGGCTAACAGTGCGTCACGTTCGTGACTTCCAGCCAAATTTTGCCAAATTTAAGGCCTCAAATTCCCGATTATTTATTTAAAACTTTTTAAAGGACCCGTGGGACAATAATTTTCACATGTACCTGATGTGAGAATGTACACTGAAGTTAAAACAACTTCCTCTTTCATGGCGAATATGCAAATTTTGGACGCCACACCACGAGCACACCGTTGCACGAAACTCATCGTTTCTACATCTTTTAATCGTCAATAGATTTAGACTGCACAGTGAAAATTTGAAGTCAATCGGACTAAATCCCTAGGAGGAGTTCGTTAAAGTATGGAGTGTGTAATTCGGCAAAAATGACCAATAAATCCAAAATGGCCGACTTCCTGTTGGGTTTAGGCAATGGCTCCAAGAGGCTTTTTTGTACGCCTGGACATGATACACGTACCACAGAAATGTTGCTGATTTATGTTCATTTATGTCCAGAGCCACGCTCCTTTCAAAGTTCATTGGTCAATATCTTGAAAAGTAATAGAGATATCAATATGCTTTATACAACTTTTAATAGGCTTGATCCAATGATGATTCACTAAAACTTTGGTGGCAATCGGAGCTATGGTCTAGGACAGGGGTATTCAATTAGAATTCCAAGAGGTCCAGTTACAGAAAATTTCCCAAAGCAAAGATCCGGAACATCAAAACAACTAACTTGCGTTATCATTCAGTACCATAACGTATAGTTGTATCAACATATGTTTTTAGTCAACAACAGACTGTCAAATCAAATAATATTTCAAGAATATTCACTGTCAGTTTTCACATCAAACTGGAGGGATAATAAATAATCACTATTCTAATAAATAATTCTAAATTTAAGTAAAATAAAGTGTCTGATTTTTAGAAAACATTAAATAAAAAGTGTAGATTGAAGTGATGAAGTGTAGTCTTAACCAATTTTATAATTTACACTCAACATATCTTAACAAATGAACAGCTTTAATGCCCCCTCTTCTCTTTCATTCCCTCTTACAGAGCTACCACTCCTACTTTCTCTTGTTCAATGAGAAACGTGAGCTCCAGTTTGTCCTGCCAGCTAGCATTGGAGATCTATGAGATATTCTGGTTTTGAAGCTTTGCGGGGTAAAATAGAAATGCTCTGTCACGTAGGTCACGAGGTAGCCTCAATAATAAATCAGCTGTAGGTCGGCAGTCCGGAGAGGACAGCTGCTGGGTCCAGATCCGGACCGCGGTCCGCCTATTAGTGACCTCTGGTCTAGGAGGAGATGTCAAAAATTTTTCAAAAAACTCCTAAAGTCGGGAAACCTTTATAGACAGACCTTAGTGGTCCTAGAGACTTTTTTGGTAGAGCACATTGAGCTGCACCTTTGTTAGAAATTTCAAGTTAATCGGACTTACGGCATGAGGTGCATGGCCTTTCAAAGTTTGCATTTTTAAGCCTTATTTACTGCGCCACCATGTGGCCGATTGAGTTCATATTTCTATGGAATCACAAGCAATTATTCCCCCAAGGTTCATGTTTCTAGCTCATTCCAGCTCACAGACAACAAATAATAACTAGAATGGGTATTTACTAAAGTAAATACATGTGAGAGCTGTCAGCTGTCAGCTGTGACTGCTACCGCTGCTGCTGCAAAGTACTGCTCCATCAGCAATTTAAAATCCTTTAGCGTTACCTACAGGTAAAAGAATCACATGCCACAGACTAATTCAGTTAAATATTAAAGCAGAAATCAGCGGTGGACGGGCCCTTACACGTGAAGTGTAATAGGTAGTGTTCCTCTGAAGTGTCACGCACTTTGGACGCTGCACAAAATACTTAAAGGTCACTTCCTGTGTCCTCTATGAGGTGCAAAGGAGCACCCAGTAATGATACGTTATGTCCC